TCGAAAAATCTTCTGTAAGTTTTTTAATTTATTATTTTCGGTTGCTATCAGGAAGGCGCTGTTGCCCATCTCCTGATTCAGTTTTCCTTTATTGCCCCTCACGACACTAACGGGATGATGTGAGGTGGTGAATATTCTTATACCCCCTCTACACGGTTGTAACTCCGGTTTACGACCGAGAATTTCTTAAAAGAAAAACCCAATTACTAATTTTACTAGTCTGCTGATTTTATGCAATCAGCAGTTACATTTACATCCACCAAAGTCACAAGACCGAAGAAACAGTCAAAGCAAACATAACATCAATATTAACGCAAAATCGTAATAGTAATTTAATATGTCATATTTGGCAACAAGGTCTTATGTTATTACCATCAACAAGTTAATATTATTATAGTTATGTACTTTAACTAAGTTCATTTTGTTGTTTTGCGAAAACTCAGAAATTTGTGTGCTCATAGTATGTATAACTTATATTAATTTAAATTATGTTTTATTGCATATATGTACTGACCTTTTACAATGTATATTAAACATTGGCTTATGGTTCCGCTGTGCAAATCATCTTTTTTAAAATATTTTTTTAAAGTATAAATAATAAAGTGTACTTTACATATTTTTTTCTGAATGTGTATGCTGTTGGCCCTACGGCCTTGACAGCTTCATCTAATTAGGCTCGTAAGTGAGTACTTACGAACTATTGAGTGCAACGATTCTGCCGTCTGGGTGCCTCGACTACAGTCCCGAGGCACCCCGACCCCTGCTTTCGGAGTGAGGCTCCTCGAGCTGGGGGGGGGGGGGGGCTCGATGCGATTCAAGGGCCCCTCAGAAGGAGGTACGAACCTCGGCTTGAATCACTATCGCAATTTTGTTAACGAGTCGCAATGTAAATACCAAAAATCACGCCGGTGAATGCGGTGTGCCCTAGTGTCTGAATGTGTGTGAGTGTTTATGGTTACTAAACTAGTTACCTCTCCTGTGGAGGGGGGGGGGGGACGGGATCGACCTATTCATGGAAGTGATCTCGTCGTCGGGATCAAGAAGAACGTTCTTGGGACGTCTCCTGCAGGGCGCAACATCCCTCAGTGGGGAGTACGAGCCCGCCTCATTCACCAACGGATTTTCGTGTTCCTTTATCGAATCGAAGTATCTTAAGGATAGTTCCTTAAGATACGTGTGTATAGTGGGCATATCGAGGTCGCGGTGAAGATCCGCGTTCCTCACATAGAAGGGAGCTCCTTTGATCTTACACAGAAATTTGTTTTGAACAACTTGAAGTTGTTTTAGACTCGTTTTGGAGGCGTGAGCAAAGGACACACCCTCGTATGTCATAATAGGACGTACGCAGGTTTTGTAGAGATGCAGTTTGTGTCTTAGGGACAGCTTACTGCGTTTGTTGGTTAAGGCGAAGAGACGATATACAACGAATTTTGCCTTGTTTCTAACTGTTGTAATGTGCTGAGAGAAGCTCATTGCACAATCTAAGGTCACCCCCAGGTTTTTTACCTCTCGGACTCATGGTATTGGGCTGCCGTAGAGGGAGATCGTACCTATTTTATATTTTTTAACCTGTGCCAATAAGGTATTATAAAAACACCTTCTGTTTAAAAAGATGGCTTTGCTCTTATCGGGGTTCAGTTCGATTCTCCACCTTACATATTGAAAAATAAGGAATCTTTTATGTGATATTTTTCATAATTTTGCTTGTATTATTAAAAAAATTCTGTTGAGAGGAGGTGGGGCTTTCTTGTAGTCAATTTTTCTCAATAAACAATCTTGGTAATTTAGGCGATTAAAATTATTTATCACCTGTTTAGAGGTGAAAATGCATCTGTACGCATCTGTAGCCTTTTTTGTACATGACGTTAGCTGCAGGTGTCCGTGGACTGTAGTAGTCACCATCAGGGGACTAAAAGTTCGTTTGTTACTTCAGCTTTTTAGAAATAAAATAAAATAACATTAAATATAACACTTATATCAAAAAAATTATATTACAATTTTTTTTATTTAATCTTATCAAACAATTAAGAAATTATACTGTGATACATTATTATGGATAGAAAGAAAAAGAAACACTATGGGTTTGATAACTGAACCCTAAGAACATAATAATAATAATACGCGCTTACCATGCATAATCGCGAAGTGTGCAGCCTCCGTAATTACTTTCTGACGAGAGCGGATGATCCATACTATAGGGACGTTATTTCTTGTGATAAAGGGCTAACCCCTCTATCCTTAGCCAACGAGCAATGGCAAGACCCGGCAGTACAGAGCATTTCCGACCGGGAGACCGTATGGAAGGAGAAGGAGCTCCACGGGAGGTTCTACAAGGCCCTTCATGAGCCTTTCGTAGACACAGTCGCCTCCCTACACTGGCTACGTTTCAGTGACCTCTTTGGGGAAACTGAGGGTTTTGTCTGTGCAATACAGGATCAGGTTATTAAGACCAACAATTATCGGAGATACATCCTAAAGGATGGCACCGTCGACATCTGTCGAGCTTGTCGCCATCCCGGTGAGTCACTTAGGCATGTCATCTCCGGTTGTTCGGCGCTTTCTAACTCTGAGTATTTGCACAGACACAACCTAGTAGCCAGGATTCTACACCAGGAGCTCGCTCTGAAATACGGTCTCGTGGATCGGAAACTGCCATATTATAAGTACTTGCCGGAAGCCGTGCTCGAAAATGACCGCGCCAGGCTCTACTGGGACCGGGCCATCATCACAGACAGGACTATTCTTGCGAATAAGCCTGATATTGTGCTGATGGACCGGGCACAGTCAAGGATATTTTTGGTCGACATTACCATTCCCTATGACGAGAACCTCGTGAAAGCCGAAACAGATAAGCTGACAAAATATCTGGACCTGGCTCACGAGGTGACCGACATGTGGGGTGGTCTGCCGGCCGAAATTATTCCTGTGGTCGTTTCTGCGAACGGGTTAATCCCAGTTAGCCTCTCGGGTCATCTGAGGCGACTGGGACTCCGTGACGGACCGCTCCAAGCTCAAATGCAGAAGGCGGTGCTCCTCGATACCGCCCGCATCGTCCGCCGGTTTCTTTCCCTTTCCCCCTAACCCTCGGCCGTTTGGTCTCCCCTGCCGAGGGCTTCCATCTGGTTGGGTTTTTATATATTTATGTATTTTTTATGTATTTATTTTATTTTATTGATATTTATGTAAGTTTATATATTTTGTTTATAATTATATATTTAAACAGCCCAACCAGATGAGAAAACTTTATAGATAACCCCAATAATAATAATATATGAAGCAAATTCCAATTACAAATATTCATGCCTTTTCTTTTTTCAACATTTTAGCAAATTACTTTCAATTGTGTCACAATACGAAGCTACAGTAAAAGTTGTCAACTTTTATCTGAGTTTTTATGATATCGCGATGTCCAAGTAGAAAAAAATAAGGGACCATTATCCGAGCATTCGCTTTCCTGTGACAGACACTCGACTTGTTTGATAGATCATTGGGAAACAACGTTATTTGTTCCCTCTCCCTCACAAGGCTTTTGTTCTAAAAGCCTTTAAGAAAAGTGATTTATGGAGATGTAATTCGCACTACGCAATCGTAATTCTCGCTTATCGAATCTGATAAGGCAGTCAACTGTGAAGGAAATAAATGCGTTGTTATTCGGTTTCCTTCGGATTCAACTTTATACTCTCTTCCTGGGAAAGTTAAAAATTTAAATACTTTTAATATTACTCTAGGCATTTGCGTGTGTTTTTTATTTTCTTATTTAATAAAAAAAATTGTATTAAAATTGATTTACACGTTCGAATCACGGGTAATATATATCCAGTTAATATATATATATATATATATATATATAGTATATATCGGCGCAGCAACAATAGTTCATAAATTATAATAATTAATTACCCGGTTTAATAATTTTATTGTGTCAAAAATAGTTCATAAGCCGTTTAATACTCACTCTTTGATTATTACAATGTAAAAATCTTGTGATTCACATAATTCAATGCTTGACCTAAAACTCATGTACACGTGCTTGCCACGCTATAAAAACGACCGCACAGAGCGTGCTAAGTCAGTCTGGCTCGAGCAGCCGTACAGTACAGACCTCTGTAAGTACATTGTTACGCTGTCAGTCGTATAAACGAGGCTTTCAAGTTAGTTGTGGTGTTTTCTTTGGAAGATTGAAGATGAGTGATCTCCATTGAAATAACATTAGTGACGTCAGCTGTGCTGACGTCACACTTTTTAAAAACAACGAGGAGCTCTGTCCTCCGTCATCAGAAGTGGGATATCAAGGGATCCCTACGCAAGCCACTTCCTCATCAGCTCGTTTACCACCTGAGCAACAGGAACAAGCCAACAACCAGCATGAAGAGCCTGTGCTGGTTACCAATACGCCAATGGAAGCCATACTACAATCAAGAACAAATACCTACCCAGATCAAGGAATGCCGATGAATGGAATACCACCACAATTCCTTATGCAAATGATGGAGATGATGCAGAAAATATCAGAACGTTTGTGCGCTCCACCCACTGATTCAAAAATAAGGATCAAAGACATCTACTTGCCATCATTTGACCCGGATACCCACGTCGGGGTACGAGAATGGTGTCAGCATATAGACCAAGCCATTGAAGCATATAAGTTGAGTGACTTCGACGTTCGCATGAAAGTCTGTAGCCTGTTAAAGGGACGTGCGAAAATGTGGATCGATGATTGGATGGTGACCACTAGTACATGGGAACAGTTGCGGAAGAACATCATCACCACATTTGAACCTGAGAACAGATACTCCCGAGACATCGTTATGTTCAGGGAACATGTTTACGATTCGTCGAAGGATATTGCAGAGTTCTTATCACGGTCATGGATCTTATGGAGAAGGGTCACCAAGGATAAGTTGGGAGACGAGCACGCTGTCGAGGCAGTGATTGGATGTGTTAATGACGAGCGTTTGCGCATCGAATTACTGAACGCCAGAGCAACCACTGTGCCGGAAATGATTTCAGTGGCTACATCTATACGGAAGAAGCGTTCTCATGTAAACGTAAGTTCTACAGTACCTAACAAACGTCCACGATTTGCGGACAATCAACAATCAACATCAAGCTGCCGTATATGTAAGAAGACAAACCACTCAACCAACGATTGCAGATTTAAACCTTCGGAGGCTAAACCCGAAGCTGGCAACAAGGATGATAAAACACAAACCATACCTACTTGTACTTATTGCAAGAAACCAGGCCATACATATGAAACTTGCTTCAAAAGGGGACGATCGTTAACTTCAAACGTTAACTACGTAGCAAGCAATAAGCTGGCTCCTATCTCCATCAAAATAGGAGAAAAGATATTGCAAGCTGTGTTCGATAGTGGAGCAGAATGCTCAATCATGCGAGAATCGATTGCTATAGCTTTACCTGGTCAGAGAAGCTCAGCAGTCAACTATTTAAAAGGGATTGGACAATTTCCAGCACTATCTTTAACTAATCTTACGACCGTATGCGTTATAGACACCATCAGTATTGAGCTAGAGTTTTATGTATTACCTAACTATGAAATGTCAACAGATATCCTAGTGGGTATGAACCTGATTCATGATATAAATATGATAATTACAACGAACGGGACGAAATTAGTTCGTAACCCACTTGTCAATCATGTTAGTACGAATTCCCCTATCTTCAATAATTTGGACTGTGATTTGACCAGCAAAGATGAAATCGCGCAACTACGTGGACTCCTGAATAAATACGAGCATTTATTTATTCGTGGATATCCTAAAACTCGGGTTAACACCGGTGCGTTGGAGATCAGACTGAAAAACCCGGATAAATTCGTAGAAAGAAGACCATATCGTCTTAGTCCAGTGGAAAGAGAGAAGGTTCGTAACATAATTCAAGAGTTAATGGAACATAACATCATACGTAAAAGCAAGTCACCCTATTCAAGCCCTGTTATCTTAGTCAAGAAGAAGAATGGTGATGATAGACTCTGCGTTGACTTTCGAGAACTCAACTCGAACACTCTGCGTGATCATTACCCACTTCCGTTGATTTCAGACCAGATCCACCAGCTAGCAAATGGTCATTTTTACACAAGCCTTGATATGGCAGCTGGTTTTCACCAGATCCCTATTGCTGAGACTTCTATAGAGAAGACCGCCTTCGTCACTCCAGATGGGCTATATGAATACCTAACCATGCCGTTCGGTTTGAGTAATGCTTGTGCTGTTTACCAACGATGCATCAACAGAGCTCTGACGTCATTGCTGGGAACAGCTGCACAGGTCTATATGGATGAAGTGCTGAGTAAATGCGCAGATTTTCCAGAAGGAATATCACACCTAGAGCGGATTCTCATAGCACTACAAGATGCTGGATTTTCCATCAACGTCGAGAAGTGCAGTTTCTTCAAACGATCTATTGAATACCTCGGAAATGTAGTTTCTGATGGACAAGTACGACCAAGCCCACGTAAAGTGGAGGCTCTTGTGAAAGATCCGGTACCTAAAAATGTCAAGCAGGTGAGACAGTTCAATGGGCTGGCAGGATACTTTAGGAAATATATTCCTGACTTCTCACGTATAATGCTACCGTTGTACGAACTGACAAAACAAGGTGCAAAATGGACATGGACAGACAGCTACGAGAAAGCACGTAACACAATCATCGAATGCTTAACGTCCGCACCAGTACTGACATTATTCCAGGAAGAAAAACCTATACAACTATATACGGATGCTAGCAGTCTTGGATATGGTGCAGTACTGGTACAGGTGATTGAGGGGCGCCAACATGCGGTTGCCTATATGAGTATGAGGACCACTGAAGCAGAAAGCCGCTACCACTCATATGAGTTGGAAACGTTAGCAGTGGTGCGTGCTATAAAACACTTTCGCCAGTACTTATATGGGCGAAAATTCACGGTGATAACAGACTGCAATGCATTAAAAGCGTCCAAGCACAAGAAGGACCTTCTACCGAGGATTCATCGTTGGTGGGCATTCTTGCAAAACTACGACTTTGAGGTAGAGTACCGCAAAGGTGAACGTCTCCAACATGCCGACTTTTTCAGCAGGAACCCTACTGAGTTTGCAGTCAATATTATGACAAGAGACTTGAACTGGCTCAAAATTGAACAGCGACGGGATGATGAACTGCGACCTATAATCGATAACCTTAGTAAGGGTAACCCAGTAGAGAAGTATGTCTTGGAGGATAACGTCTTGAAGAAACAATTAAACGATCCTGTTTTTGGTCAACAACTTAGCACAGTTGTCCCCAAGGCCTTCCAATGGAGTATTATCAACTCTTTTCACACCGCACTGAAACATCCCGGCTGGGAAAAAACATTACAAAAGATCAGAGAAACTTATTGGTTCAACAAAGTGAGTTCTACTGTCGGAAGATTTGTAGACAATTGTGTAATATGCCGAACATCCAAAGGAAGATCTGGTACTATACAAGCCCAATTACACCCAATACAAAAACCAGTGGCTGCTTTCCAAGTTATTCATATGGATTTAACTGGAAAGCTAGGCACTCCAGAAGATCAGCAGTACGTCATAGTTACCATTGACGCTTTCTCGAAGTACGTTCTGTTCTACTTCTCCAGCAACAAGAACCCACACAGTACATTAGCTGCTCTGAAACGCACAGTACATCTATTCGGTATACCTATTCAAGTAATAGTTGATGGAGGAAGGGAGTTCCTAGGCGAGTTCAAAGACTATTGCGACCACACTGGAATAAATATTCACGCCATAGCTCCAGGAGTTAGCCGAGCGAATGGTCAAGTAGAAAGGGTTATTGCAACTCTCAAAAATGCATTGGTTATGATTAAAAACTACGAAGCAGAGCAGTGGCACACTACGCTTGAGGAACTGCAATTAGCAATGAACTGTACAACTCATCGTGTCACTGGCGTAGCTCCATTGACACTTATTACACAACGAAAGCATTGTATACCGCCCGATTGTGTACGTGACATTCTAACATAAGTATCTACGAGAACCTCCGAGAACCTCCGATAATCTACGAGAACCTCCGAGAACCTCCGAGAATCTACGAGAACATCCGAGAACCTTCGAGAACTCTACGAGAACCTACTAACCTCAATAACATTAATATTACCAACCATACAAGGAATTATGTGTTGGCCTAACAACTAACATGAAGCAATTCAAGTTGCTTACAGATATCCTACTCAAAAGAAATCTATTGTTACAGGTAAAAATAAGAACTACAATCGACGAGGCTGGTGCAGAGCACACACCGCCTGTCAGTGTGGCCGTATCGGCGCAGCAACAATAGTTCATAAATTATAATAATTAATTACTCGGTTTAATAATTTTATTGTGTCAAAAATAGTTCATAAGCCGTTTAATACTCACTCTTTGATTATTACAATGTAAAAATCTTGTGATTCACATAATTCAATGCTTGACCTAAAACTCATGTACACGTGCTTGCCACGCTATAAAAACGACCGCACAGAGCGTGCTAAGTCAGTCTGGCTCGAGCAGCCGAACAGTACAGACCTCTGTAAGTACATTGTTACGCTGTCAGTCGTATAAACGAGGCTTTCAAGTTAGTTGTGGTGTTTTCTTTGGAAGATTGAAGATGAGTGATCTCCATGGAAATAACATTAGTGACGTCAGCTGTGCTGACGTCACACTTTTTAAAAACAACGAGGAGCTCTGTCCTCCGTCATATACATACAAAAAGTTATGAACGCATCAATTCATAACGGAACTCGTTAACCAGAAATAATATCATTTATGACACGTGTCACGATTCTCCTTTTTTCCCGCCTTTTTTGAACAGTCGGCGGATGTAATAGACAACGAAATAAAAAATAAACTTTTGTATCATTTACATACCAGCATCAGCATCCACTTACCATCAAGTGGACTGTGTACCCGCTTATCACCCTTATACCATATAATAAAAGATTATGAATTATTAAAAACTTGCGATGGAATTGTAAATTTACGCTTTTGCTGCATACTTTATTCGTTGACTTTTTTTTATATATAATTGGTTTGACAAACGAACTGTTATTGCACCTAATAATTTAAAATTAAAAATCTTGTACAGCCGACTTCAATATTAGTTATTTAAGAATAACTCAAAAACTATTGATCTGACCTTGATCAAATTCATATGGGACCACACGAGAACTATCAGCTTTCATATAAAAAAAAGAATCATCGAAATCGGTTCACGCAGTTCAAATTTATGAGGTAACACACATAAAAAAAGATACAGTCGAATTGAGTACCGTCTCCTTTTTGGAAGTCGGCAGAAAAGAAGTGTACTTCAGTGAATGGACAAATGCAATGAAATTTAAATAGATGCTACAGATTCATTGCTACCTTTGAATAATAATATGCAATGTCTCACAGCCTGTAATTATAAATACTAGCTATTTATTTGTTGTGAGGCATCATATTAATAACTGGCTCTCTATGACCCGGAACATAACAGTAGAAGCACTTGTTTTTCAGCAGAAAAAAGGATGGCACCCACCCACATATTATGTTTACAATAATAATTTACTTGTTTATTATTAAATCTGAGAAATGCTGCTTCTGTAAGGTAACTTTATAATACTAGATAACTAAGAGTCATACTAGTCCTGGTTTTGAAACCTGGACTTTGTGCATAGAGGAAAAAAATTACGACGTTCTGTTAGGAGGGCCGCTCTGAAGGTGTTTTAAAAAAAAACCTTTTACACCCAATCCCGGAAGTTCTTTTGGTTTTTTCCCCAACATTAAAATAATACACAAAACGTACAAAAACCGCGAACGGTGTGTGCGATATGCACTTAATATGGATTGGAGCTGCACTGCCTCAATTACCTCAAACGCTACGCTCTTATACTAAGTAAAATAATCGAGTCAACGCTTCTAACTAACTAGGGTTGGACATTTCGAACCATTCGAACTACATGGACATTATATTCGACACTTATCAGAGTAAAGTTAACACTTAAGTTGAAATATGTCTGCATCTTCTAGTATAGTATAGTTATTTTCTATATTTTCTTAAGCGTCACGTTAGCAAGGCACGGGTTTGTTTGCAATACCCGTAACACAAGGACACTTATCCTAACAAACTTTGCTAAATGGAGTGCCCCTGTGTTAGCACCTGCACTTGTGCAAATATAGTATAATAATAGGTCGCGGAAAAAGTTTTTTCCTATTTGTTTGTATAAAATTGAAGAAAAGTCTCTTTGGATGTACTGTTTGTATCTGGCTTATTTAACATAGTTACTTTTATTTAACAATGTAACTATGTTTGTTCGTGTGGAATCTTGCAACTCGATTTTGAAGCAGATATCTTTAGAGAGTTAAGTTTGGATGACAATGCATGGTTAGCTGTTTTTTTAAATTTATTTCAACAAAGTAACAGTTTTAATTACAATATAATTTCTTAATGCCATTAAACAATTATATTTGTCTTGGCACTGTACAGTTTGCTCTAATATATTATTTTACTTATACTTTTATTTACATAATATTGAAACGAACCTTTACTTAAACTTAAGAATAAAGTAGCATTTTAAAATTGTGTAGAGGAATATTAAACATTTTTAGTATTTACATTATTTTATATAAAATTTATGGTAGATATTTGTTAAACTATAACCTTTTTTCTGGAGAGGGTAGTATTTGATATAGTTTATACAAGAAATAGTGAAGCAAAAATGTGATTGTTATTGTTTTCGATTGTCCTCTTCGCATATATACTATACTGCAACTTAATTACGCGCGTACACACGGAATGTATTTTTAAGGAATAGTTTGTTTTTTATTGTATTTTATTTGGTTACACCTTTTTTTATTTGTCCGTTTTTGGCAACATATTTGTTGATATATATATATATATATATATATATATATATATATATATATATATATATATATATATATATATAAAGTATCATGATCATCATTAAAATATTTTTTTAAGAATTCTAATTATATGAAAAAATGTTTAAGTTTCGTTTTTATGTTCTTTGCTGTTAGATGGCCTCTTAATTCTGTAGGTAAAGAATTTAATAGGTATTTCATACAAATTGTGTAATGACGTTATGAGTTAATAGTTAAAGTTTTAAAGGAAAAGTTTATTTTATTCTTTTTAACGCATTTAAATAAAAGGTCGTTTTTAAAATTGATTTTTTACTTTTAATTTATTTTAATTGTTTTTCTATCCGCCAAAATGAGTAAATCTAACGAAGAAATTCGATACATACTAAAGTTTAATTACAAAAAAGGGAAAGGGGAAAAATGCAACTCAAGCCGCGAAAAAAATTTGTGACGTTTGACTTAATGCAGTGTCAGTGAGACTTGCACAAAGCTGGTTCAAGAGTTTTCAGTTCGGGAATGTTGAATTCAAAGATGCAGGTTGCTCTGGTCGCCCTCATATGGATAAAGTGGCTGTCGTTTTTTTGAAAAAATGCAGCAAGAGCAGCATATTAGTAATTACAACATAGCCGAAAAATTGAGGTTTGACCACAGAATAATTTTAACTCATTTGAATAAGTCTGGCTGTACAAAAAAGCTCGATATTTAGGTACCACAGAAGCTTACTGAACGAAACCTTATGAATCGTGAGCTCATTTGCGATTCTCTATTGAAACGTAATGAAACCGAAAAATTAATTTAAGGTTGATCACTAGTTATGGAAAGTGAATCACCTGCTACAAGAACGTGCGAAAATGATCATGGTAAAAGGGTAGTCAAGCTTCACAGGCTGTATTGAAACCCGAATTAACACTGAATAAGGTGATGCTGTGTGTATGGTGGGAGGGAGGGCATCGTTTAATGTGAGCTTTTACCGCCCGGCAAAACCATCGATTTGGATCTTTACTGCCAAGAACTAATAAAAAAACTAGAACTAATAAAAAACTTTCATCAGCATAACACCAGACCGCACACATCTTTGGCCACTCTGCAAAAATATTGGTTGGGAAGTGTTAATACATCCACCATATAGTCCTAACCTTGCACGCTCAGATTTTCACCTATTTCGGTCTACTATATTCAGTAAATTACTTGTTGTATTTTTTGTACATATAATATGGAAAAACTTTTTCGCCGACCTATTTTATATGTATATACTAGTTGACCAGGCAGACGCTGTTCTGCCCTCCCCGACGACCCTGTGTCCTACAAAAATTCTTAAATTCGTAATAAAAAATATTGAGGGTCACTTATAGGGATAAAAATTATCCTATCTCTCAAGTTAGACCAAAATGCACACAGTGTGTAAAATTTCGTTGAAATTAGTTCAGTAGTTTAGGATTTTATCGCGGAAAAACAACGTGACACGTAATTTTTATATATATATAAACTGTTTAATAATTAAAGACTAAAGCTATTGAGGACTATTTAATTTATGAAGTTTTGTATTTTTTATCAAAAATAATCTTTAATTTTTTCTCTAAAATATAGCTTAGATACTCCTGACGTTGCTCTGTTCATATAGTTTCATCACAAGTTTCAGTCATTCAGAAAATTTCAATATTACAGACAGGCAATCCAGTTATTTAAATTTTTTTACACGAATGTTGTTCAACCGGGGAAGGACCACGCTCTCACAGTATTAAAGCGTAAAATAGCATCTTAATGCTGCTGATTTTCCTATGGTGAGTGTAGAGAACCGGAGAACTTTTTTACTGGAAAAGAGGCATTCCATCTCAGTCCTGCAGATGTGTAGTCGGGTGACAACACATCTGCATTTTAATTTTTTATTGATGATAGATGTAGATGTCTATGGTTAATAGCGACCACTTAACATCAGGTGGACTGTGTGCTCGTTTGTCACCCTATCCTTTTAATATATAACCTGGCTAAATGTGTGCCGGACGGGCGAAACTCGGGAGTAAATGTTGTCGAAGTTACTCCACGAGTCGCTGAGGTCCTACACCTACAGGTTCCGGTGGATACTTTTACTGCCGCCTTTGTGGGTGCGGCTGGGGTTCAATCAAAAT